GAATGAAAATGGGAAAAACATCTATTTATATGTCCCAGGAAAGAACTTACTGTCTATCCACAAATCACTGTCACAGAAATCGGCTCCTTTCTCACTCGTCTATCTCATAAATTACGTTCGTTGAGTGTCTCTTTTGGCTTTGCCATGGCCATCTGGAAAAACTGGCTAATTTGTAGCTATTTTGCTTGTCCTTGGGGGAAGCAGAGGCGTAAGATAAATGGGTAACCTTAACTTGATATCTGTTGACAGACATGTCAAGAACTATTGGAAATAGCTGGATCTTGGGAGAGCTACATTTAATACCTCCTTTGAAAAAGATAATTGGCTCATACACTTGAGTAGGTGGGCAAACACTTTGTGCCTGGGTCTGTTGCCTACTCCTTAGAAACAGGGCAACTTCTTGCAAAGAATCTGCACCTGATATGTACTGAAAGCTCCTCTCCATATCGATCTGATTATTAACAGGGCTTTAAAGAGTGGAGAGAGGAGAACTGATAGCATAATTAGGAGATAGGATCCCTCTTTTTAGATGTAGATATGCATACATTTATGTATTAAGAATACACTGTGACCCAGAATTTGCTAATATATAGGGGACAAGGTAGAGATCACTTATATTAGGACAAAGTAAATTTACTTTCCAAAGTGGCAGGAACCTGCTACGTAAATTTAACCCAACTTTTAATTTTTTCCCAATCTAGAGGTTACAACGCGGCTGCCCATGGAAATCTACAGACCGTAGACTTGAGTTATTGATAACTGTGTCTTGTGTTTAAAAAAATCAAAACAAAGAAGAGCCATGGGGTGGTTTCACCTAAAAATCCAGAGTCCTGGCTTATTTTGGAAAATCAGAAGGACTGGCTGCACTGGGCACATTTTTCGTTTGGCTACTCCTTTTGGACGGGGTGTATCTTTTCTAGTTCACTGTGGTCCCAACACAGCCTGTATACTCTTTTCCTGGCAGCCTGCTTAATCCTCTGGGCCTCAGTTTTTCCTCCATAAAATAGGGTGATGGTGTCTGCTCCACCTTAGATGATGTGGGCTCATCTAGGAGAGAAAGTAGGGGAGAAGGCCTTCTCAATGCAGGGGGGATTCAAGGGGTATCCAGCATGTGGCTGGACCATCCGGCATTCCTGTTTAAGGCCAGTGTCAACATGTGTCTCATAAAAACCCAAAGCAAAACAAACGCCTACTCCAGAGCAGTGAGGCAAAATGTGGATTTTACCGAAGTTCTCTTAGGGGTGAAGAGGTGAAGTGACATCACGTTTCACTCAGCAACACTTCCAGGGTGTGTCAATCCCTCTGTCATGAAAGCAATTTAGGCTTCTCACATTCCTCCTCCCCTCCGCCCTCCAGGGAGTCTGTTTCAAACGCTGAGGGTGGGAAGGGAGTTTACACACACTGGGGGTGGAGGTGAGTCACGTGTCCACATATCCTTGGGATCACAGAAAGGTGACTTAAAATGCACTCACTTAATGGGGGGACTCTTTCAAAATAAGCGGTAGGCATGATGGATAGGCATTGAGATCCCATCTTGAAAAATGAAACCAAAAATCTTGAAAATTAATTTATTGTCTTGCATCTAACTCAGTGTAGGTTATAATTGCAACTAGCCACTAATTCTTAGAATTAACAGCAAATGAGTCAAGTGAGGATTAAAAAAAATCTGGTATTTTTTTTCCGCCAGCCTGGAATTTCACACCTGACATTCATAGCAGTATCGTCAAGAAAGCGAAGTTTTGCAAAAATATCTGAGGGCCTTAGTAACTACCCCCAAGGGCCTCTCATAATCCTTTGATATTGAATTGTTCTCTTTATTTTGGAATGACTTGATATTTACAGAAAAGTTGCAAAGGTGACACAGGGAGTTCCCATACACCCTTCACCCAGTTTCCCCCGAAGTTGACAACCTACATAACTACAGTACATTTGTCAGAACTAATAAATTAACGTTGGTACATTACCATTAAGTAAACAATAGATTTATTCAGATTCCACCAGTTTTCCTACAAATGATCTTGTACTGTTTCAGGATCCATCCAGGACACCTCATTACATTTAGCAATCATCCTCTTACGAAGCATCTTTCTCAGCTTTGTCTTTTTCGCGTCTGACTGGTCTACTTCTACTGTATCTTTATGTATCAGTGACTTGCCTGGAATGCAATTCAAGCAATTCTTCTACCTCACCGTTATTGACTTCATGAAACTATGTATCCGTTGCAATATTTACAATTATCACTTAGGAAGAGAAGGATAGTAAAAAGTTGTTTCATTTTGGGGGTGGGGTAGTGAGACTCAATGCTAACGTTAAGCCAGTCTGGTTTTCAATCCGTATGTACTGGTACAGTCCATTGCTTGTTAAAGTAGTAAAATATTTCTTTAAGTTTTGGTAAATAACTATGCCAGAGTCTCGCCCTCTGCAACCACGGCCCCCAGCCCCCCGACCGCCGGCCCAGCCTGATAGCCACTGAAGGGTAAATTCCTGGCCAGCAGTGGCCACTCAGCATTGTGTTCCAGGTAGCAGGAGTCTGTTCTGAATGATGGGTGGATGCCTGGACCACACTGGATGGTAAATATTGGACCATTGTCCTGGTGTTAAGTAAGAGAGGGGGACAATTCTATAAGTGATCAGTTCATTGATAAATATTTTTATAAAATGAAAACTTTTCTTTCTTGCACCCTTATAACCCCAAGGGCTTGGAGCATGAGGGCCCCTCAACCTAACATTTTCTTCCTCTATCACACACTCTCTCTGGTGATATTCTTTTTTTCCCCCCAAAGATTGGCACCTGAGCTAACAACTGTTGCCAATCTTCTTCTTTTTTTTTTTTTCCTGCTTGTTCTCCCCCAATCCCCCCAGTACATAGTTGTATATTTTAGTTGTGGGTCCTTCTAGTTGTGGCATGTGGAACGCCACCTCAGCATGGCCTGACGAGTGGTGCCATGTCCATACCCAAGACCTGAACTGGCGAAACCCTGGGCCGCTGAAGTGGAGAGCGTGAACTTAACCACTTGGCCACGGGGCTGGCCCCCTCTGGTGATATTCTTTATGACCCTTGGCTACGCCATTTTCAGAAAAATAAACTGAAGCAAGGCACACCAAAGAAGTAATTTGGCTCAACTAATTGCACACTTGAGCCTAGATAAAAAATTATGATTTCTGGTTCTGTTCTTCCTTAGGTCATATCTTTGTTGTGAGTGTAAGACAAGATCTGAAAACTCGGCTGCCTCGGGTCCTTGGCCCATCATTAATAAGTAAATCACTTCAGAGAGAGTTCAATGTGATCCAACTGGATTTTGAAGCCACTTTTGTCCTGCTCAAAGTGCTTGCCTTTGGATTCCCTAGATCTCTCTTTCTGCACGATAACATTCATTTATTGCCTGTGCCAGTTTGCATGGGTTTTCATTGCTTTCAATCAAGAAGGCTTAACGTGAGGGCGTGGCTCCCACCAGATTACCAGGGGCCTAGATATCCGCCTTCCCGCATTGTTCCTCTGAGTTAAACTTTGCGTGTCAGGACACAAGGGTGAAAATGTGAACCCGACGACTGAGAGAAAAGGGGAAAATGATAAAAAAAAACATCTGAACAGCTCCTCAGAGCTTCCAAAGCATGTCAAGATCATCTTACAGGATCTTCCCACCAGCCTGGTGGGTAGGCATTACAATCATCCTCATTCTAGGAGCTGTAGGAACTGAGGCTTAGAAAGGTCTGGTGACTATCCTAGGGTTCCTGAGAATGAGTGGCAGGGCCCAAAATGGAACCCAAACTCCCTGATGGGATAGACAACAGATGGTTAGTATGCATCAGACAAGATCTGCACTGTCCAAGATGGTAGTCACTAGCCACAGGTAGCTATATTTAGATTTAAATTTGTATTAATTGAAATGAAATAAAATTAAACATTCATTTCCCCAGTCACTTTAAGTGCTCAAGAGTCACACGAGGTTAGTGGCTACTGTTTTGGGCAGAGCAGATACAGACTGCTTCCACCGTTGCAGAAAGTTCTATTGGATATGATGGGCTACGTTGGTTCAGCGGGGTCCTGAGGGAGTATGGCTCCCTGATGGTTGGAAAGGATTGGAAAGGTCTTGATTTGGGAGCTTCCTCAAAATTCAGGCTCTGTAGAGTATCATTGTCTGAGGTCTAGAACAGCCAGCCATTGGCATTAGAAAAATGTTCATTCATTCATTCAACATATATGTATTGAGCACCTTCTATCAACACCGTGCTTGTGCTGGGGGTACAACAGAGAACAAGGCAGGTGTTGTCTCTGCTCTCTCAGAGTTCATAGTCTGGTGAAATCTTTTGTACCCAGGAGATGCTAAAGACTAGGAGGGACAGAGCACCAAAGACTCAGAGGGAGAGCAGGTGGCCAACTTCAACTTCTCATGGAGAAACTACTGGTGCCCTTCTCTGTTCCACATTTATGAGACACCTAAGACCTGGGCTTTCACACTCCCCAATCTGCCTGTCACATTGTCGGCAGTGGCCATCTGTGCCTCCACTGGAGCCTAGCTCGAAGGCATACATATCTGGGAGCTCTTTGTCTCTTCCCAAAAGGGTAGATCAACCCAAGCTCTCAAAAAACAAAATAGTGTCAGCGCCTCCAGGACCTCATCCACTCTCTCTAGATACATGTGATGAGGGACATTCATGTGAGCAACTCTCTTGCACAGGTGACCCCTCTGTTTCCCAGCCACGAAAGTATAGGTAAATGAGAAAGGGTACAAGGACATTACTAAGTGGGTAATCTCAAATCAATTCCGGATGATTTAAAACAGAAAGAGAAGAAATTGTTATTTGACATTGGACCTTTGGTCATTATTAACAACGAATTATTTGTGACCCATGTCTAGATGGAGTTGAGGATCATGCTCTAGTCTGCATGTCACTCAAGCCAACTGGAGAGGTCCTTATAGGCGACTCCTTCTTGAGCCTGCTCCAGTAATTAGGGAGCTCTAGTTCAAGTTAATTAAGAGATTGCTTTGGCTGGTGCAGAGAGCTTTTGGTCATTCCATTTAACAAATATTTACAGGCCCTTCTATTTCTTTCAAGTTGCCTTGGAGACCTGGGTTCCTGATGTGTTCTCACAATGGGAAAGCACGTTACCCTTGGTTTCGGTTGATGGCTGAGTTCTTTAAGCCACCAATGATCGCTCTTGACACTGCGATAGGCAAACTGGGGAGTGTGAAATTCTGGAAATGTGGGATGGAGAAGAGCACCGACAGTTTCTCTGGAGCATGCGAGCAGCAGTCTGGGATACTTCTTTTCACTATGAGAACATGATGATTTTGATATCATGGTTTCCCAGCACATGAAATCAACATAGGATACCAGCCCACTGGTACTGCCTTGCAGGTGTGTTCAGTGTCATCATTTCTACAGAGAGAATATGGGGCCGTAGGGGTGATTTAGGGTTGGGGTTTGTCACAGTAAATGGCCAAGGGGCTGACAGAACCTGGAAGGGGGGTGAGAGAAATACTGAAGGAGGTGGCTCTGGAGTTCAGACAGGCTGGTAAATTCAGAGCCTCCACGTGGAAGTAATAGACTAGGTGATCAGCCAAGCAACGAGAAGTCCCGGAGAAGGCAGAGTCTGTTCACTGGATGAGGGAGAAGGGTCTGGAGTCGGAAGAGGAGAGCCCCAGACTCAAGATCTAGTCTGAGGAGCGGCGCCATGTGAGGACGACGGATTCAGGATGCGGCTGGTATGAAATGGAGGTGGAGGGCAGCGGAGTTGTGCAGGGAGAAGTCAGTGCTGGCTCGAAGGGGAATGTGGGACACGGGCTCTTCTGTAAATGAATTCCAAATGTAGTGGTGAAAATACTCCGAGAATCAGATATTTTGAATTACGCAGGCACTTGCTGAAGATCCCATGGGCTAGAGCCCTTTTGGCCACTCACCCTGGGCAAGAGGGTGTGGGGCCTAGGGGGTGATGTAAGTGGTTAGAACTGGAAAGCTGAGTATTTGGATAGTGCGACAGTTTTCTTCTTTGTTTTATAGGTTAATGAATTTTTTAATTGAGATATACTGGACATATAACATTATATTAGTTTTAGGTGTGTAACATGACGATTTGAAATATGGATGTATTGTGAAATGATCACCACAGTCAGTTTAGTTAACATCCATCACCCACATAGTTATAGATTTTCTTCTTGTGATGAGAACTTTTAAGATCTTCTCTCTTAGCAACTTTCAAATATACAATACAGTATTGTTAACTATAGTCACCATGCTGTACATTACACCCCCAGGACTTAATTATCTTACAGCTGGAAATTTGTACCTTTGACCATCTTCACTTGGGCCCAACCCCCACTCTCTACCGCTGGCAGCCACCAATCTGTCCTCTGCTTCTATGAATTCAAGTTTTTTTCAGATTCCACATACAAGTGATACCACACAGTATTTGTCTTTCTCTGTCTGACTTACTTCACTTAGCATAATGCCCTCGAGGTCCAGCCATGTTGTCACAGGTGGCAGGATTTCTTTCTGTTTTATGGCCATGTAATATTCCATTGTATAAAAATACCACATCTTCTCTGTCATTCATCCATTGATGGACGCTTAGGCTGTTTCCGTGTCTTGGCTATTGTAAATAACACTGCAATGAATATGGGGATGCAGACATCTTTTTGACTTAGTGATTTCATTTTCTTCGGATAAATACCCAGACGTGGAATTCCGGCATCAATGCTGCAGTTTTAATTGACATCTCAAGCCTCATGCCCACTTGCAGCTGGGCTGCTTCCCAGGGACTGCACCAGACATGGAATATACGTTTGTAACCATATGTCAACAGCAATGGGAAATTCTTTGTTGAGAAGCCTTCTGAAACTGTGTCTAGGCTTGGAGGGAAAGGCACCGTGTGAATCAGTGGTATCTGCAGTAGATACAAGACGGGAGAGTTGTATTAGTCCTTCCTGGGCACACTACCCTTCTTGATCTTATCCTTCTGGAAAGGGTTCCACAGAGTAGGAAGGGAGAGGCTCTAGGCAAGGACACCGCCACCCCAGCACCGTTCAGGCTAAAGGAAACTCATAAAGCACCAGAACTTCTGAGACCATCTATAAACTTCACAAAAGTTTATCTTTGCGGGCTGGGGATTCAGCCAGAGGCAAGGATGCTTCATGGCACGTCTGAATGGCCAATCCCCTCGGGTTTCTTTCATAACCATAATCCTCGTGTGAGAGCAAAATTCAAGAATCACGAAGGTACAGTCTGCTGAAGTCCCCCAAAGAAAATTCCTGGTAAAATATACCAGGGTCATTTATCAAGAGGAGAGAAAATATGAGTCCTAGTCTTTTGGAAATCTCCACGAAGCTGGTGAAACCTGAGTGTGATTGTGAAGGACAGGTGGAAACAGGAGATGGAGGGCGGAAAGTCGAGAGCATGTCTGATGGATTCCTCTGCTGATTTAAAAGCTACAGCACAGCTAGATGAAATTTGCTAAGGGTCTGAATAGACTGTGGTGGGGGGGAGCCGCCATCCAGTTGTTGACACCATCATAAATACCAGGGATCTCGAGGCAGGATGCAGAGCCGTGAGTTTGGAAAGATTGCTGGCCTTGGGACACCAATATGCTGATTCTTTAAAATTTTACTGATACCCAATATGCTGAGTCAGTTAGCTGAGAAAAGGCCACCCAGGCTGCACATGGAATGTGGGGCACAATCTCTGTCACCTTTAACTAGGAACAGGTGAATTTTTCTGCCTGCAGTTGCTAGACATGGGGCCTTTTCAATGTACCTAATTTTTACCCACTACTATATGTCTAATAACTTGTCCTGGGGTATTGTGTTTATCCCAGAAATGTTAATGACTTCATAACTCAGTGTGAAATGCTCTGGGCAATTTTAGTATTATTAAGGATTCTATGAAGTATAAAAAAGAAAACGCTCTCAAGGTGCCGGCCACAGTTAATACTTGATTCCCATTTTGGAGAAAGGAGAGAAATTAAGCTTTTTAAAAATACATGTTTTCAGCTGGGAAAGCAGTTCATTTAAGCATAATAACAATCATTGCCCTTTGGAAATAAGGCATGAATCCCCAGAATGTCCCTGGACTGTGAATTCTATCTTCTCTCCGTTGCTTGTCTGAGTCACGCTGGAACTTGGGCAGTGGGCAGCAGGAGTGAGGGTAGGTTTATGGTTTTGGCAAATTGGGTTGAGGACTCTGGGCCCTGGGGTTTGGAGGGGTGAGGTGGGGTGGGACACTGTTTCTGACTCCGGGAGTCAAGCGGTGGGTAGGAAGAGGGAGCAAGGAGGCAGCAGGCTGTTCTAAGAGAGCCACGGGAGGCCGCCACGTCCATAGATGGCTCAGCACCATCCTTCCTCCTACCACTTTCTCGAAATCAGCAAATTTCCAACTATTTTCTCTTCTAAAGCTGGGGAATCTGTTAATGAAGAAAGGCCATGTGAAACCGATAGAAGTGGCACCACTGCTTTGGTTGGGATTATGATGGGGAGTGGGAATCCTGCGCACCCAGCACCTTCCCTACTTCAATCCCTTCTCCCTAGGGGAGGCTCCAGGGACCCTCAGGGATCCAGGGAACACAGTTTGGAAATCACTACCTGAAATGCTTTGAGAAGAAAACGTATGTCAAAAAATTTTGCAAATAGTAAAACCCCTTAGAATCTTTTTGTTATTATTCATTTCAAAGCTTCCCTTGGTGTTCAATTGTCAGGTAGGTTGAACGGTAATAATGGTGATAAAATCTTTTACAGATAAGAAAACTGAGAGGCTTGGGAAGATAAAGTAACTTAATCCAAGTCTTCCAGTTGCCAAGCTGGGCACAAACCCTGTCTGTGAACCACAACCTTCCACACCCCCATTCCTCTTTTCCTCCCACCTTCTCCCTCCCACTCCCCACTTCACCCAGAGACCTGCCAACGCCGAGGCCTCGGGAAACACTTCCTAGATTCAAATGCTGGCCCCACAAGAGTGATCCTGATTACAGATGGTGCCTGAGCTTTGGTGCCTATCAGTGCTTGTGCCATCATCTCATCACATTAAAGATGGCGGAGTCTGAGAATCGAGTGGTCAATGCGCATTTAGGTGAAAAACACACATTTAGCGCTTTATCTTGGTTTAATTGGGTGATCTCCCGGGATCTCCAACATGTGGGAGGGAAAATTCTACAACTGTTTCCGTCTTTGATGACTTGGGAGAAGCTCAGAAGGTAGATTTGTTTGGATCGACTCAGAGGAAGTTGCTGTAAATGATGCGCCAAACAGTTGGCTGTAAAAAATGGGTCCTGGGCTCTGCAGGGGGTGGGCAGTTTACGCTCTGCAACTCAGATGTGCAAAAAAAAAGTAGCTTTCTTTAAATGCATTCCACCGATGGCAGCAATGAATAAAGCCAGCATCCTACTAGTTGGAGGTGGCTCAGTCCCTTCTGGATTAGAGCAGGCCCTTTGGGATTAACTCAGTCTGCTTTGGGGAAGTGTCTGATTTTCCATTGTTCATCCTGCTCCTGCTTCCTCTTCCTGGGACCTGTCTGGGCAGAGGGAAGCCCACCCACCTTCCTCGAATCAGGGGAGGACAGGCTGCCTGCTGTCCTCCGTGTCTTTGCTGGTGTCTGTTCAGGACTGTTGGCTTTACCTGGCCCCCAGGATTCCAGGGTTGGGAACTGCAGAGACGCAGCTGGTGCCATGTGGGTTTTTTTGGGGGCTGTGCTATCACCTACTGCTAAAGTCTGTAGTCACTGTTATGCGATCTGGCCATGGGGTCCATCTTTTCTAATCCCACTAGATCTTTCCGACCGCCTGGGTGTTTTTTTCACAAAAGCATGTGATAAGAGCACAAGGCAGCCCCTGGTCCACCCATCTAGAGACTTTCCTAGGTCATTTTTAACCTTCTACCTGATGAGTACTAGTAGGACACTGAGTGTCTGTAACAGGTCTGAATGGCCCTATCTATTCTGGAGACGCAAGAACCAGTGATGAACCCTGGAGTCCCTCCACTCATCGGGCTGTTTCTAACCCCAGGACACAGGTCCACTGCTTCTCCTTTCTCTTCCCTCCTCCTCCATCGGGGCAGAGAACAACTTCTCCTGTCTGCAGAGAACAACTCCTCTCTCATTTCCTCTGTCCTCTCCACGCTAGCTTCGAGGACGTCTCACGCTCTGAATCCAACATGCTTAGATTTCTGGAGTTTAGAAGACACTCTTCTCTCTCACAAAGCCTATATCTTGAGACCATTATCTCGAAATAATATTAGCCCGTTGTGATACTGTGATTTATAGTAAGAAATATATATATGGTCTTCGTCCCCAGTCCCTGACACAGGGCTCCTAAAACTCTCATAAATTCCTAAGTGATAAGAACACTAGGAGCATCCTTTGTTCTAATGAGGTGACTCTGGGTGGGTTCCTGGATGGAGGCTGGTCACCAGAAAGACCAAGCCACTGATTAGAAGCTTGGAATTTTCAGTCCCACCTCCCACTTCTCTAGAGAGGGGAGAGGTGCTGGAAATGGAGTTAATAATTAATCATGCCTACACGAGGAAGCCTCCTCAAATCCCAACAGTACGGGGTTGGAGAGCTCCCAGGTGAGTGAACACTTCCATCCACTGGGAGAGAAATGCGCTTCGACTCCACGGGGACAGAAACTCCCGTGCTCAGGACCCTCCCAGACCTCAGGACCCTCTGTATTTCTTCACCTGGCTGTTCATTCTTCATCTGTATCCTTTAACCATACTTTCTAACAAAGTCCGGTGGGACTGAGCCCTTCACCTGTGGGATCTCCAGGGAGACAGTGTCAGAATGGAATTAAACTGTTGGACACCCAACTGGTGTCCCAGAATTGCTTGGTGTGGGAAAAATCCCACACATTGGTGACCAGTAGTGAAGTGTCCTGTCTGAGCAGTAAAGGAGACACACAGTAGGGAAGAACTCTGCTTTTCCTAATATACCTGTGGACAAAAAAATCCCAAACTGGAAGTCCAAAGCTGAGCAGTGGCTCTTTTTCTCTTTGCATTCCTGTTCCAACAATCCTAACCTCCCCTGGAGTGTTGGATGCATCTATCGAATAGGGGGATAGTGATGTTCAAGGAAGCATGAAAAAGGAAAGCAGATTAATATATTTCAGAAAGTATTATCCTCGTGACAAGTGCCTAATAGACAAGAGGTCACCCGGATGGGGAGGGAGGAGGTCTGCCTTCCTCTGACTGATCAGTTTCCTGTTGTGTACTTGGCACCAGGCCGTGAGAGGGACGCGAAGGAAAATGGAGCTTGTTCAGAGGAGAGAAGTGACCTTGCGGGAGGAATGACGAGACTTGTCACCTGAGAGATGGATGTGTAGCTGGGAGAAAAGAAGACTCAACAGAGTGAGGAGGGCCGCCCTCAAATATACGAAAGAGCATCACTTGGAAGGTAAGAGGCGTGCTCTTTGTAGTTCCAAGAACTAGAACTGGACTAAATGGGCAGATGCTGGGGTGAGGCAGAGCTCCACTAAATGTGAAAAGAATTTCCGAAGAGGCAGAGATGTCCCGAGTTGGGATGGGCCGCTTCAGAAAACCAGTGAGTCTTTTTTTATTAAAGGCATTTCAGGAACAGGTTGGACTCTGCTAGCTGCTAAGAAGATTAGATAGCACATATACAGGGCTTGGATAAGGTGACCTGAGTTCTCATCCAATCTATGGTGGATTAAAGAGGGCAATTTCTTTGAGACGAATTCCCTTCCTCTTGGATCTGGAAGGGCTCCACGACTGCTTGAACAATAGACTATGGTGGACGTGACGCCGTACCAGTTTCTAGGTCCCTGCTCTAAGACACTGGCAGCTTCTACTTCATGTCTCCTAGAACATTTGCTCTTGGAGCCCTTAGCTGCCATGTAAGACATCTGACTGTCCTAAAGTTGCCATGCTGTGAGGAAGCCCAAGCTAGCCACATGGAGGGCTGCATGGAGAGAGACAGAGACTCCGGTCCAGACGCCACCGTTGTAGCCATCCCAGCCCAGGCACCAGATATGTGAGTGAAGAAGTCTCTAGACGACTCCAGCTCCAACCACCGTCTAACTACAACTTTATGAAAGACTCCAAGTGAACGCCACTCAGCTGAGCTCGGTCAACCCACAGAATCATGAGGCTTAACAATACATTTTCTTAATCTATTAAATTTGGGGATGGTTTCTCACACAATAATAGGTCCTGGCCCGCAAGCATTGGAATTCATAATTCTGTTAACTACCTGTAGGAGGAGGATTAGACTTCGTCATAGGTGAATTAGATGAAATTATCAGAAAGATGTTAGTGAGAACTCTGCTCTGCAGCATCTCTCCTGGTGGCCTGCTATGTTGCCCCAAATTATACCAAGAGTGAATCGCTTCTGGCTGACAGGTGATCTCTTTCAAGATCAATACAATTTAGGGGGGAGAGGAGAACACCTTCAATCTAATCACTTCTTCTATACCTTACTATGAAGTGGTTTTCTGACAGCTGAAAATGGTCCCAGGGGAATGAGTTTTTTGGTACCCAGAATGACAGAGGGAGTGACGGATACGTTTAAAATTAAGGGGCACTATGAAATTGGAAAAAGACTGTAGCCAACAGCAGGGAGATAAAAATGGAAAGCGGCAAAAAGTATTCATTTACGTCTTTGTCTATTTCAATTTGTCAATTTTAGCCCTGGCTGACCTGAGAGGGTTCTTTGCTCTCGGCAAATTTCGTAGCTTCCGTGAATGCTAAAATATTACTGATGATGGTGATGATGAAATGTTCCATTTCAAATGCTTGATGGACTCGGTGCATGGTGGTAACACACGTCTATACATAAGGCCTTGATTCTTTGATTCATGACTCGCCAACAGCTCATATGTCAGGAATGGACAGCAAGGGGTTCCAAGCATGGCTTGCCCAAACTCTGCTGTAAATGGAGTCCTTTTTACCCTTCATTCCCTCACTTGGAGCAACTGGGAAATGACTGGCTTGTCAGCTCTTAGGCAGAGGCCAAAGTATGTATAATAACAGAGTCAATCCTACCTACTCAAGAGAATTTCCATCGTTTCTAGCAAAATGGCACTGCGGGGGTGTTGAAAGCCAGGGAAGGGAAGGAAAAATGTTTGGGGCATTCCAGGTTGGAACTCTAGTTGAGGAAATGGTATCCTAAGCGGCAATTTAGTAGTATTGAAGTAATAATGACGAGAACGATGATGGCTAACAGGCACTGAGTGCTCGCTAGCTGTCAGGCATCTTCCTGCTCCCAGACATTGTCCCCCGACTTTACACTCCAGCTGTGGAGCTTTGCTGTGAATCTCACAGCTTGGAGTTCCCATGACCTTGGTTCAAATCCCAGCTCTGTAGCTTCTTAGCTGAGATGGGCAAGTCACTAAAACTCTCTAAACCTATTTCCCCATAAGATTGTACATAAGAGTATTAAAGGAAGTAATGAATATAAATTATATTAAGAGAAGTAATGAATATAAAGAGCGCAGCACAGTGCTGAACACAAACATTCAAAAATGTAGTTACTATATATGCTGTATTTGGGTTCTTCATGGTTTAAATTGACCCTTGTGGATTGATCTGGTAACCCAGACAATATCGACAGTCGTTTTTTTCTATGGGAAATGGCATGCTAAATTATATATTAGCAAAGTACAGCCCTTGGCCAAATCTGGCCTGTCAGCTGTTTGTGTATGACTCGCAAGCTAAGAATAGCATTTGCATTTTTAAATGGTTGAAAAAAAATCAAAAGGAGCATAATATTTCGTGACACATGCAAATTATATGAAATTCACATTTCAGTGTTTATCAATAAAGTTTTATTGGAACACAAGCACGCTCATTTGTCTGCATACTGTCTGTGGCTGCTTTCGCCCTGCAATGGCCAGGTGAGTAGTTGCAACAGACACCTTATAGCTCACAAGCCTAAAATATGTACTATCTAATCCTTTACAGAAAAAGTTTGCCAGCCTCTGTTCTAAAAGGTAAAAAAGAAACTAACTTCCAAGCAATATATTTGAACGATGCTTTTATAATTGGCTATTATATTCTCCTATACATATATTTATATATTTCTCTACACACACGCGCACGTGTTCAAACACACATCAGTATACACACATGTAGGACAGCCCAGCCACATGTCCGCATATCATCTGCTCTGACCCTGAGGTGGCTCTGGGTGAACTCCTATCCGAAGGCTGAGTTATGCTGGCCAGCATCCATCCAGCATGGAGTTTGTAGGAGAGCATTGGAGGTAAATGCGTCTGCCGAGTTGAAAATGCTGGCTCTCTCCGTCCCCTGCTGGGTCTCCAAAGAAATATATGAATATTTTAGCGCTTTCTTTATGGTAGAAGATTTCCTTTTTCCTTATGGGCTCTCTTTGCTGGAGTTTTTAAGAACCTGTTCTCATCACAAAATCAGGCACAAAAACCATTTACCATACATATGAGAGTCAACAAGAATAAAACACCCTTAGGTACTGTTCACATTTCTTTCGCCTTCTTACTCTTGAGCTGCTATTAAACTTTAATATACAGAAAGTTTGCTGGGTTTTATAGAGTCGAACAGTGAAGGTGTGGTTGCGGCAGGCTGACGTGACTGGAGGTTTAAGTCCATCCAGGTCTGCAGTTGTGTAATGAGCAGACAACCCAATCACCATAAAAACACATTTAAAAATATTGTCTGTCTGAAAAAACCAGCGCCAAAGACCATCAAAACCGAAGAGGGCCCGGTGATCAACTGCTCCAATCCTCTATTTGTAGAGAAGAGCAAATTGAGAGTCAGATTGGGGAACGGGCTTCCTCGAAGGGCATACACTCGTTTGTGGAAAAGGACGGGTCTAGACTGCTGGTCGCCAGCTCCGAGTCAGGCCTGTCATCCTGTCCTCACACTTCCTGGGTAACACACCGATGCACAGAAGTAACATCCAAGAAACCATTCAGATCTACACTTTCAAAATAAAACATTGCTTTCCCTTGGCTGTTCAATTTGTCTGACGTACAAATTGACACACGAGGCATTTGAATTCCGTCTCATGTGACTGTGTCACGTCTCCTTGGACCCCTTCTTCAACGTCATGGCCTCTGACCTTCCCTATGGCTTCTGGCACATTCTGCCCAGTCTCAGGCTCACACAGATGCTTATGGCCATTAGATTTGTGTGATCTGCCAGTCCCTGCTTCTCCCTGCTGTCACCTAAATGGGGGCATTGAAGACAAAGTAAGGAATTGGGAAGGCAGATGGAAGGTGCAATGAAATACTTAGTTAAGGAACGGAGCTATGAGACTGACAAAGCTAAGAAAGGGCCAGATTGCGCGGGAAGGCTGCTGGTTATGATTAGGAAAAGAACACGGTGCGTCTCCCCTCCCTGTAATGATGGACAACATTTGTGGGGCTGACATAGATATAGCAATGTCCAAATGTACATCTATATATTTGGGTATTGCTCTCTATTTTCCACTTTCCATTTCTCAAATAGGCCACAGGCTCCAGGCTGGGAGCTCAGGGCAGGGCGGAGAGTTGGAGTTGCCTGCTGGACGTTTGTCTTTTTGGCTTTGGTTTACCAAGGCTTAAAATCACAGAAGTGGATAGATTTGGGGAGGTGGGGTAGGGGGCAGCTATCTCTGAGAGGGACATGAAGAGAGAGGGAGGGATAGTTTTTGAATAAAAGTCTATTCTCTTGGACCAGAAGCGGAAGAGCTTTCTGAGAGTCAGGGAGCCAGCACTCTGTTCTGGGCAAAGCCCAGCCCCAGAGGGGCAGCGAGAATACCCAGGGGCAGGGTGACGTGCTTCCCAGCCTCACCGAGATCCCCCCAGCCTCCACGCGTGGAGTGGGAGCAGCAGCCCCAGACCTGAAGGGACCAGTAGACTGGGATGATGTGTGTCTCCATGGCAACCAGTATGGTCTGGTGACTCACAGCTCGTACATGCTGGGGAGTCGGGGGAAGGACAGGGGTGGGGGTGGGGGATGAGGGACCCTCCCAGTACCTTGGTGCTAGGAAAACACTCTCTGGGCTGAGGACGGGGGAGCCTTGAGAATCAATGAGGTTGAATTTCCTGCCTACACGATGGCACAGAATAGTCACAGTTGAAATTAAGCTGCTCGGAAGAAAATAAAGAGATTTGACACTTATCCCACACCGGAGTCTGCGGCCTGTGATTCATTCATTCCTTCTACATCTGGAAAACAAAAATCTGTATCTTCCTCATGAGCTGTCCAGTGCATACTAAGTTCCCCTGTAATTGTGGATGCATTATCTATTGTTTTGCTGTAGGTACCATCCGTATTCCATGGCTCCCGCCCAAAGTTGGACAGTCTACATCAATACACATTTGCATTTCTTCTCTCTTGGCCATTTGTTAAAACCAGGCTTTAAAACGACACTGAAAGTTCCTGCAAAATGCAAGACACCAAACTGCACACATCAGG